CTCTTTACGTATTATTATATCCACTTGTGCATTCCCGCACACATACATACATACGCACTATAATCAAAACAAATTCTCTGTTGTTTTCGTTTCTTAACTCACCACTGCTGTGACAAAGCATAGCTTAGCCATATACTCGGCTTCATACGTAAATATTTGTACATACATACGTACGTACATTTTTACATTCTACATATTCTGCACTTTTGTACATACGTGCTATCAAAGAATATTGTCACACGAATATTATCCATAACGCGATAAGAAGTGAGTTCAAGATATCAGATATATGCAACCCAGTAGGGAAAGCTCCCGAATTGCATTGGTCTAGATAGTGATAAATAACCATTACTTTTTCAGTATTTACATAATTAGTTATATCACATTAAATATTTATACATACGTATATTTCACCACGTATATAAAAGTGAAAAGTGTTTGTGATTTTTTTTTTCTCGTACTGAAATTTTTCAAATCCATATTCCGCGGATTTAATTGGGACGCTCCGTTTTCCACGTAATAAAAAGTGCTGAACCAAAAATTAAAGCAAATATAATTTCACGTAATTTGCAAGAAACAAAAAACACAAACACCGCCACAAAATCTTAAAATTCTTTTCCTGATTTTCTGTGGCACAAAGTGCAATTTTTACTCGTTTGACATATATTTTTCTAATTTTTGCGAGCGTTATCTGGGTGGTACTCAGTAAAATTTGATAAATTTTTCTCTCAATTTTTATACGTGTGACCTTCCACAGCATTAAAAATGCCACTTGGACACAGTCCACCAAAAATGTCTGAAATCGAGATAAGGTCAAAAACTGCTTCGCAAGAAGCCACCGGTGGTAAGAGGGAACCCTCACCGCGCCCGAAATCTAAAACTTTTGACCCATCCGCGCAAAAGTTTATAGCGGAAAGTGACAGTATCATGAGATACTGTGCAAGATTCAGTGATGCACCGATCCAAGACCACACTGAATCATATCTTATGATAAAAGACAAATCACTAGATGATTGTTGGGCACGGCTTCAGTCCGCCTATGATTTGGTTTTTTCAAAGCCAGATGACAGCCTACCCGAAAACTTTAAGAGTTCGGTAGAAGGCAAGTACTTCACTTGCCTTGAATTATATGAGGTGACCAAAGCTAAAATTGCCGATCAACTGTCGTTGATTAAAGCAATCGCCGCACCGAGTCCACCACCCCGCGTGGAACACACCTCGGCAGAGGCAAACGTTTTTCTTCAAGTCCCACCTTGTGACACGGAGACATTTTACGGTGGTTACGAAGAATGGCCCGCTTTTCGTGACATGTTCACAGCGGTGTACATCAACCACCCGAAGCTCTCCCGTGCTCAAAAACTGTATCACCTCCGGTACAAAACTCAAGGAAAAGCCGGTTCCATCGTCAAGCAATACCCGCTCAGCGAAGATTACTTCGAGCTGGCCTGGGAAGCTTTACGGTCACGATACGAAAACAAACGTATCTTGGTTGACAACCAAATTAAAATTTTGATGACTTTGCCGACTATTCAATCCGAGAATAGCGAGCAACTTCAAAGGCTGCAAACATCAATTAACAACTGTCTGTCAGTTCTTAATTCCCAAGACGTCCAGACAGACAGTTGGGATCCCATATTGGTGTACATTTGCTCATCCAAATTGCCCGAAACCACACTGTCACTTTGGGAACAATCTCTCTCTTCTCGAAGAGATTTACCCTCATGGTCACAAATGGACGATTTTCTTACTTCAAGATACGAAGTAGTCGAAAGACTTAACCGGCTTCATCCAAGCCAAAATAAACAAAAACCAGTCGCTCATCAAAATGCTGCGCAAAACAGATCCTTTAACAGGACTCAAAACCTTTGTGGCAGAACCTAAGAGGGAACCAACTTGCTCTTACTGCAAGTCCCCTCATCCCATTAGAGTCTGCCCACAATTTAAGCGAATTTCGGTACCCAACCGAGTACAATTCGCAAACCAAACCAAGCTGTGCAAAAACTGCCTTGGTAATTCCCATAGCAGTAATGAGTGTCCGAGCAAGTGGTCATGTACACATTGCCAACAACGGCATCACTCCCTGCTGCACATGAACCCCATACCACAATCTCGACACTCCAGTGCGCGAGCGAATGAAACCGCCGCACAACACACTACTGCCCAGTCGACACCTCCCGCTCGACAAGCGCAGTCAAGCTCCGATTCCAGCGAGCAACCGTGCTGTTCCAAACAAGCACAAATACAATCATTGCACACCGACAATGATAGCAAAATTCTCCTTCCAACTGCCATAGTCGCAGTTGAACACGAGGGTGAATTGTTTCAACTTAGAGCCCTGATTGATTAAGGCTCACAAAGAACATTCATTTCCTCGAAAGTTCAAAAACGGTTGAAACTACCATTCGAACATTCCAAGTTCGAAATTTCCGGCATGGGTGGACATGTAGTACAAAGCTCCTCAAAGCTTTGTCCACTCACATTGGTAGCACCAAAAACCATGCAACGGATAAACACACAGGCTATCGTGTTACCTCAGCTCACGAGGCACATGCCTACATTCACCATTAGCCGCGAAAACTGTCAGCAATTCAAGATCCTTGAACTTGCTGACCCAAGCTGTCACATACCAGCTCAAACTGACATGGTAATCGGCAGCGATATACTTCCACAAATCCTGCTGGAAGGTATACAAAATATTTGCGACACTATACTTGCGCAAAAAACAATATTTGGCTGGATTCTCAGTGGTCCAATAACCGAAAATGTGGCGTCATTCTCGACACAAGTAGAAGAGTGCTCGAATGCAACTCTCAGCTCTCAGCTTCGAAAGTTTTGGGAAGAGGAGGAGATTCCACAACCTCCACAAATTTCCCCTGAAGATCAGGCTTGTGAGCATATATATGCAACAACAACGACTCGTGCCCCAAATGGTCGATACATTGTGCGACTTCCATTCAAGGAAGAATTTCCAAAAAAGCTGTCTCTGGGCCACTCTCGGTCTGCTGCACTTCAGCAGTTTTTTAGCATGGAGCGATCGCTTCAGAAAAAAGGAGACTTAGGCACAATGTATATAACAATGTGTTGCAAGAATATCTCGACCTCGGTCATATGGAGCACACGAAGCCATATGAGATAGTAGCTAATGGCAAATACTTCTCATTCTACTTGCCACACCATGCGGTCGTCAAACCAGATAAGGTAACCACCAAAGTTCGCGTGGTATTCAACGCCTCAAAAACATCTGGTTCAGGAAAATCCCTGAATGTCGTGTTGCACACTGGTCCCACACCACTGGGCCACTGGTCTGGCGAATGCACAGATTCGTGTTCAATGGCGACATTGAAAAAATGTATCGTCAAATACTCATCCATGAGGACGATAAAGATTTTCAGCGGATCTTATTTCGCACGTCGGCTGACTCCCCTGTCACCGATTTTATTTTTAAAACCGTAACGTTCGGGGTTAATTGTGCACCATACCTCGCTATCCGTACCCTGCATCAATTAGCAGATGATACGATAGCGACATTTCCCTTGGCTGCCACAATACTTAAAACCGAAACGTATGTGGATGACATCCTGTCCGGAAGT